CACACCACTCTGTTTCCAAAATTCTTATAAGAACTTGTTCTTATATATCTGACCTCATCTTCTTTTACAGATCAAGATCTCTCCCTCCGTTGACCTTTTCAGCTCTTTGCAATATGGGACTTCTTGGTCTAGTTGCGTAAGTGATCTTTTACTTGGTAATCCGTACATTTCATTAATTAGTAGCATTTGAATCTAGATATATTTCTTACTAGGTTTCAAAAAGGGTTAATATGTGAAATAACAAATTTTTTTTAATAATTAAGATACTAACTAAAATTGCCGTACGTGGCACAATAATAACCATTGAATTTAGGACAATTGGTTAGTTTTGTAATTATAGAATTTTTGTTGGCCCTTTCAAAAACATCTAGCTAGTTGATTGGTTAGTGAATTGCATGTTTAAAGATTTATGTTAAGTTTGAGTTTTTTTCAAGGATAATTTTTGATTTGCATATACAAGAGTATATAAACCATACATTTTAATAGCATCCATCAAGTAGATATACAGTATATGATTTACAATTTAGAAGATTTTTTAACAAACATTATTTTTTTTTCTTTGTTCATGATATCATTCTTTCAAAAAAAAAAATATCCCTCCTTCTATTGTATCTGTTAATACTTAATGTATATTAGAGAATGTTTCTTACTTTTATTTTTCTATTTGTTTTGAAAAAAAAACAGAAGTGCATTCCAAATCGCAGGATACAATGGGATAAAATACAGCTCGCCGACTTTATCTTCGGCGATGAGCAACGTCAATCCTGCATTTACCTTCATCCTCGCTGTTATATTCGGGTAATTTATTTCCTTAATACAAATATCGGTTAGTTGAAATCATTTAGTTTTTTTTTTAACTTTATAACATGTTTTACTTTACTTTATAAGTTTCAAAAAAAAATAACATGTTTAACTTTATTGGTTATAAAAAAACATGGGATCCAACCTTAAACGTGAAGTTCTCAATAGGGGTGAGACGATTCCAGATATCCTAGAATTTCAGAGTATCTGGATTCAGATCCGGAATCGTCGGATCCGTGAAAAAACTATCCGGATCCGGAATCGTGACNTCNGGATATCCGGGCTCTAGGAATCGTTCCAAAAATCAGGATATCCGCGGATATCCGGATCCGGATCCGAAATTAATATTAAAAATAATTAAAATAATTAATTAATAAATAAAAATATATTTTTAAAAATTATTAGTTAATATTTTAAATGGTATTTTTCATTATAAATATAATTTATTATAAAAAGAACTAAAATCAATTTTTATATATATTTATTTATATAAAATTAGTTTAATAGATATATAATATATATGGTTTTAATATATTTAATGCG